GAAGGTCCTGGGTTCGAACCCCGCGAGATGCGCACTGCCTTTGAAGAGTCCCAAATAGCAGGACAAAACGGCCGTCCAGTGCTTCCAGTTCCCTAACGGTGGTCATAAAATGATTGATTGATGATTTCAATGTGTGTAAACACACTGAGAGACATAGATGCATTTTATAGAGTACTTATTTTTTAAAAAAAACTCAAACTTCGAAGAAAGGACGGCTAGGTTATAATGTCATCAGAATGCTCACTAGTGACTAGCTTTGTGAGGAATTTTCTCCGAGTTCTAGTGAGTGGGAGGCACGTGACCAGTGAAATTCAACCTGTTCGGGTGTAGACAGTAACTACCGAAAACTGTGTATGAATGAGGTCGCACAACTCCGTGAACTGATCAAGTTAGACATTAACACCGTTAGATACCCCGGCTCAGTGGTCCGATGATGGTTAGGCGTTCGCGCACCATACCGAAGGTCCTGGGTTCGAACCCTGCGGGGTGCAGGAGTCGTGGATGCGCACTGCCACTGGGGAGTCCCATACATTGGGACGAAACGGCCGTCTTCTGCAGTGCTTCCATGTTTCCCTAATGGTGTGGTCTAACACTGATCGATTCATGCTTTCAAAAAAAATGTGTCACTTAACAAACCTTCACAACAACCCTGTAATGCAATTTTTTAAATCATCATGAAAACATTAAACATACACATCCACACACACACACACACCGACACATTAGAAATGTACAATGTTTTTGCAAACAACCAAAACAGAATCATTTATTTAGAAAAGAATGAAAAAAAAGAATGTTTCCAATCAACTTACCAATTTCGGTTGATCATGAATCAATTTTTCACATTGAATTTTAATTTGATTTATATCACAAATTAAAAGTAGATTATGTTCACGGGCTAATTGATAAATTGACAATTGATGATCGGCTTGCTGATCAGTCATTTGTATAATTAAATTTAATAGCTGGGAAGAAATGAGAAAGTTAGTCAGTGAGTGAGTAAGAGAGGGAGACAGAAAGGAAGAAGGGAGTAATGTATTGAATGGTAGCCAAAATAAAAATCGACAAACTGATATTCATATGAATCGATAATTATATTTAGAGATCGCTTGGTAAAAAAAAAACCTCTTAAGTTTTGTTAACACTGTTTTGCAGAATTTTAAAATTTCCTATTTTCGCGCCACAAAAACACTCCATATTTCTTCTGTCACCGTTTGCAATGGCGCCGGTGCATTTATTCTTTGTGTTCTCTCAAATCCTAATTTTCTGAATTCTTCAAACCCTCTAGTTTTGACTTGCTAAACTTATCTCATTAAATCATACTTCTTGAATAATATCTTCTAATCCTAACCTCTCCGATTACTTCTAATACCTTTACTACCTCTTCTACTATTGGATTTGAATTGACAATTACATCTCTGTGATGATGTGGTATGGCGACATGAACTGATGTACTTACGTACAAAGTTCTACGTTGCATCTGACTGACTGACTGACCAATGACACTTAGTATTGTATAAATTACGCTTGAATTGAGTGCTCATAGATTATATGTTTTTCCCGTTAGCTTTAAATTTCTCACTCTAGTTAGGTAGGTTGGGCTGCAGGGGACAGATCGGCTGAGATGGTGGAGAAAACTTGTAGCTCAGGTGGATGATTGTGGTGATGTTTCGTTCTCTGAACTGGTTGTTTTGGTTGTGGAGCTTTCATTGTTCTTCTTCTGAACAACAACATCATCAGAAGCACAAACTTCAGAAAGAAGAAGCGAAGTATTCGAATTTCTCCACGTTTGACCTGTAGCTTGTTCTGCTAACCTCGATCTTGATTGGTTGTTGTTGACCTTAAACCTGTCGTTGTTTGCACATTTGTTTTGATTGTATCCTCTTTTTGATCTGCTTCTTGATCCTATGTCGCCACCTATGATTTTTGTGATTGGTTGATAAATTGGGTCAATGTCGATGTGTTTATTGATTGATGATTGGCCTGAGTGCCAAGCTTCTAAAAATTTTCTAGTGTTCTTTTTCCTCCCCCTATCCAGTATTTCCACATTGTCCCAATCGAATGTATGTCCATAATGGTCAGTATGTATGGATATAAGCGAAGAATTGTCGTGGCGTTTGACTGCTAATTGATGTTCACGTAAACGAAGCTGGAGAGGCCGTCCACTTTGTCCTATGTAGTGTTTTTCACAGTCTGAGCTCAGACTGTGAAAGGTCAACAACAACCAATCAAGATCGAGGTTAACAGCACAAACTACAGGTCAACCGTGGAGAAATTCGAATGCTTCACTTCTATCTGAAGTTTGTGCTGATGATGTTGTTCAGAAGAACGACGAAAGCTCCACAACCAAAACAACCAGCTCATAGAACCAAACACCACCACCAAGATCAACTGTCCTATTATTGTTTCACTAATTATCGTTCAGTTCACCGATATCAAGTCATATCTCAAATTATCGCAAGCAAAGCACAAGTGATGTAAGAAAGGAGTGATTCAGTTTCATCGTCAATTATTCTACTGTTAATTTAGCTTAGATGCAAATCAACATTTGTGAAAACCGGTGTGTTAGATTGTAAAACATCTACCTTTGAATCACATAGTTCAGATCAACAAAGATACTCCTCAAGAAAAAACAGAATAATAAACAGAATTCCCAACTTCAGTCAACGTATCGTGTAGGGCAATTCATTTTGATTGATTGTTTAAGTCTTCTGGATGATGTTTACATCCAGCTGACAAATAATGAGTCCTGTATTCCGCTGTTAAATAATGCTTGTTACATAATGGCAATATGTCATATTAGAGTGGTCGATTACAGCCCCAACATGCCGATGAGAAGATTAAAATAACCGATGCAACTGAATCAAACTTCATCCTATCACACAAGTCAGTGGCTATCTGGATCTAGTAACTAGGTGGATATCGTAATGGCGTTTGGAGCGAATTGTACTTCATTTAATTTACAGAATAAACATCAGCTCTGTAATGCAATTAAATGCACCTGACGAGCCCTAAATAGGAAAAATCACGCGTCTCAAATTCCACTGCTACACGTCATCCATCTTGACTAACAATTATTGTATAATAAATTTGTTGCGCTCGTCTCTAGGTATGCTTAAACAATTACGAGTTCACATTAGTCGATAAACCAGAACAAAACAATGAACCAGCGTTCAGGTAGGCTACTTTGATCCCTTAACCAGAAGGTATCAGCGAGAAGTCTTGATATATTATAGAAATTGTATTCTACAAACACCCAGCCAGCATACAAATGAATCCAAGCACTCAAATTGCGTCTATTTATACTCTGTAGAGACGTCCTTGGGACAGTCACAAAAATAGCACACTAAAATGACACAGTAACCAATCACAGCCAAGGATTTTCCTGGTGGGAAATATGATCTCAAGGTCAACTGATCGGTCCATGAAATAAATCCAAAATAAAGATATTTATCAAGCGCAAGCTCTGGGGATCTAACATCCCCAACAGAATTCTTCATTGACGATTTATTCTCTGGCTATCGATAAGAATGACATTGGATTAAGGAACATGCTATATCGTAGAGTGATCACAGCAGAAAATGTATTTAGTTCACATCGAAAACTAAAAGCCTTCATTTCGATCTAATTTTGGCCCAGACTGATAGGAGAATTCTAAACTTAGATGTAAAGTATGGTTAATTAATACAGAAACCCATTTATTATTTACCAAATTCCCAGTGTTACATTTTTGTACATCAAAATTACACTACTTACACCTAATAATAAGTAGGTTCAGAAATATTCAAACATTTCTATGCGAATAATATGCGAATTTATAATGATGGGTCATGGTTGATGAAAAATTCTCGTTATATTTGCCTTAAAAATGTTACTTTTTAAATGAGGATAATGTGTTAGAAGTAGGTAGCACCATTTACTATCCTTTTTCTTGTCATTCAAATAACTAAGATTCCATTTTATCTGAAAGTTGATGTACAGATTTTATAACTGAGAATTTCGGAACAGAAACTCTACAATATTGATTCCTATGATTGACACATTATGTAATATCAGTATAACTAAGCTTTACTCTTTCACTACTCTAATTCAAACAATTTACACACATGTAGTAAAAGCTACTATGTTCAACTTATCCAAACAATGAATTAAAACAAGCTTAAAGGAAAACCTTCAATCCTTCCTATAAGTATAGTTAAATATGGATCTGTTAAAAGACTTTTTGCGACTGCACGATTTTGTCGGTCTACGCAAAATACTGCAGATTCGTTGGCCAGACACCATCAGCAACAACGAACTGTGGGAGAGAACAAACCAGATTGCAGTGGATGAGGAAATCAGGAAGAAGCGGTGGAAGTGGATAGGACACACACTACGAAAAGCACCTAACTGCGTCACGAGACAAGCCCTCACACGGAACCCTCAAGGCAAAAGGAAAAGAGGAAGGCCAAGGAACACATTACGCCGAGAAATAGAGAAAGATATGAGAAGAATGAACAAACATTGGACAGATCTGGAGAAAGGAAGCCCAGGACAGAGTTGGTTGGAGACACCTGGTGGGTGGCCTATGGTCCAATGTGGGTAACAGGCGTAAGTAAGTAATTAAGTACGATATTGTCGGGGATCTAACATCCCCAGAACTCGCTTGATAAATATCTTTATTTTGGATTTATTTCATGAACCGATCAGTTGACCTTGAGATCACATTTCCCACCAAGAAAATCCTTGGCTGTGATTGGTAACCGCGTTATTTTAGTGTGCTATTTTTGTGACTGTCCCAAGGACGTCTCTATGGAGTATAAATAAACGCAATTTGAGTGCTTGGATTCATTTATGTGCTGTTGGGTGTATGTAGAATACACTTTGTACACTATATCAAGACTTCTTGCCGGTATAATTTTGATCAAGGGATCACCGTAGCCTATCTGGACGCTGGTTCATTATTTTGTTCTCGTTATTCGACTAAGGTGAACTCGTAATAGTTTAAGCATACCTAGAGACGAGCGTAACAGATTTAGACTTCTCAGATGATTTAGCCCTTCTATCCCACATGTAACAACCAATACAGACGAACAAGACGGTCAGTGTAGTAGCAAACTCTATAGCGTTATACCTCAAAAGTAAGATCCTCCGATAGGACAAAACATGCACCAACTGAATCATACTTGAAGGAAAAGCTTTGGAGGATGTATCTGAGCAGCCTCATTGATGAGCAAAGTGAATTTGATACAGATGTGAAGTTACAGATTAGCAAAGCAAGAGCAGCATTTCTACAACTGAAGACCATCTGGAATTCAAAACAACTATACACTAACACACCAAGGTTATGGATGTGCTTCATTGATGAGTTAGTTCACTAACAAGACGAAACGGCTGTCTAATGCTTCCATATTTCTAACGGTGATCTGGCCAAGATCAATTAGTGACTATACCTGTGAAAATAATACAATCTCTACCAACCCCCTTCATCAATTAAGTGATTATATCTCAACTATCTTGTTAACTCATTTAGACCGGAAACAAATAGATAGATTGTAGTCATTGATAGGCTTCAGAACAAAACACAGCAAATCAATGGGAAGACTAACTGTATTGACAGAACAACACACCAAATAATGATGTTGATAGAAAGAAGTAAAAACATATGATAAACGAAGAACAATCCTATTACAATCTCCTTTATATCATACATAACTGACTTAATGATCTTATCTTAGTTTAAAGTGTCGATTTCAATAAGATCTTATATATACGGACAACATACTTATTTTCACAATAGTCTAAATTTACTTAGGACAGTTTTAGACATGAATTGATGTTACATTTAGTTAGGAGAACTCATGAAAACCAGACAGAATCGTTGGCAATCAATATTCCTTGATTTTGCATGAGATTTGAATCTAGAATGTGATATCGATCTAGCAGCCAATTTTGATATAACTCATCAGAGAGGTTGAAATGGAATGGTTTATATTTGTAACTTTTTGGTAGTTAATTTGTGATATACCATGATTCGTATTAAATACAATCTGTGGAGTAATTGTACTACTTTCAAGTTATCTACTTCTAGTGAAACTTCATCAGTTGAGGTGGTTGGAAAATGTGTTACGTATGGCTAACCACCGACTGCCTCGATGAGCTATGTTTTGCAGTGTACGAGTAAGTTGGAAGAAAGCTAGGGGCGGCCAAACCAAAACATGGCACAAATCCATGAAATCACGGACAAGTGGACTCAGTCATGTTGTTAGATGAAGGCTATCTGATTGGGCTCTGCGAGACGATAGTTACCAATGGTTAGAGACCTTGAACGACATGGCTCAGAATCGTTTGCAATGGCGCAGATGCATCCACTCTTTGTGTTCTCGCTAGTTCTAACTTTCTGAATTCCTCATCATCTCTATCTTTCTCCTTCTAAATTTATCTCACTGAATTATACTTGTCGAATCATATCTTCGCTCCCTAATCTTCTCCATTACTGCTAATACTTCTACTATCGCTATCACTATTGGATTTGAACTGACAGTTACGTGTCTGTGCTGATGGGGCATGGCAACCTGAACTGATGTACTTACATACGAAGTTCTGCGTTGTATCTGTCTGTCTGTCTATTTACTTCTACAGATCACAATTATCCGCTCACACATGTGAAGAAAATTCATTTTGAAACTAGTTAAACGGAACAGTACATATATGTTTATTCAATATCTACTATATAGAATATTAAAGTGAACTCAAGATATATGGAACTGTAATTCTTTCAGTTTTCGACTAATAAAACACATTATTACAGGTTAATTTGATTTGTACCCCATATAGTAATCATTTATTGGTTTAAACACAAACATTGGTGTATAAGGGCAACGAAATTTGTGTGCGCCACATAAAATGATTCAATTTTTGAAAAAGGCTCAGTTACTGTCAGGGTATCCAAACTGAACTAGGTGGATTTATTGGGGGCGGGGGGTCTTACACCCTGAACCTTTTACCAAGGGATCTGATCCATAAGCCAGTGAAGCAACGTGTTAGGAGATGCAATCCCATGATAGATGGTCACCACCAACAGCTTCACACGCTATTCGTTCTGTCAGGATTTTGGAAACCATATGAGCCAGTGATTTGAAACCAGGGTCTCCTGACTCCTCGAGGTGCGTCTTCCATGTTTAACAACCTGGTTTAAGCAATACAAAGAACGACCCCACTGCAAGAAAGCAGTGAGTAGGACTTCCCTGGTAGTAGCTACATACACATGACCATGTGAAAACATTTCATGTAGGAGAGCGGAACCTCTCCAATGCCAAGGCATTTGAAGGCCTTACATATTTGAGTAATAGTCTGACTATTTGGAATCGTGAAGCCTGCATAAATCAATGGTCACATAGTCACAAATGAATAATGATAAGTTATTTTACTACCAAAATTCTAACTAACCTTTGATGCTCTCGGTCCAAAAATATGTCCAGTTAAATTCATCTGTACAAATTCAGCCAATTGGTTTACATGAGGAAGACTAAATTCCAATGAATAAAATGAAGGTGAGTAAAATCAATCATTAAATCTGAATATGTTGTGTTATTTATTATGTAAGAAAGTTGAGAGCTGGGACTAGATAACTATTGAAAAATTTTACGGCCTTTATTTTTCACATGTATGACATAGTTCTGTGTAAAACATGGCCAGTAAGAGTAGACGTTATTCGTAGGTTGCTGGATTTCGATCATAGGTGTCTCCGAAGCATTGCTCGTATATCCTGGGACAACCGATTAGGCAATCTTATTGTTAGAAAACGAGTTCTGGGTAAGGATGGCAAATCAATAGATGAAATGGTGAAGCTTTATCAGTTGAGGTGGTTGGAACATGTCTTAGGTATGCCTAACCACCGACTGCCTCGACGAGCGATGGCTGTGCAATGTAGGAATAGTTTGGAAGAAAGTTAGGGGCGGCTAAACCATAACATGGCAGAAATCCATGAAGTCATTGACGAGTGGACTGAGCCATGTCGGTAATTGTCGACTACCTGGTTGGAGTCCGCGAGATGATAATAATCGATGGTTAGATACCCTGAATGACATGGCTCAAAATCGTTCGCAATGGCGCCGGTGCATTTATACTGTGTTCTCTCAAATCCTAAACTTTTTAATTCTTCAACATCTCTAGTTTTGACTTTCTAAACTTTTCTCACTGAATCATACTTCTTGAATAATATCTTCTAATCCTAACCTGTCCGATTACTCCTAATGCCTTTATTACCTGTACTATTATTGAATTTGAATTGACAATTACATCTCTGTGTGCTGATGTGGTATGGCGACATGAACTGATGTACTTACGTACAAAGTTCTACGTTGCATCTGAGATCTGACAATGTGACCACTATCTGCCAGGTGTGCTAAGATAGAACTGCGCATTGTTTTTAACTGACCCTTCGTAAAACAAGCTGGGAGATGTTCACTCATTCGTTGGTTAAGTTGTCTGGAAGTGCGCCCGATATAGCTATCTCCACAGGAGCAGCTGAATTTGTAAATGCACATAGAGGAGGCCAACTCAGGTAACTTATCCTTCGTTCGGATAGACATCGCTGGTCGACTGGAGAATGTCAATGCAAGTTTGGCAGCGTTGAATGTTCTATTAATTACTCTTATAAATCTGTCCGGCAGAGTATCGCAGGCCACATCTCCGTTGAATTGTAACTTCATAAATAAAGGCTTCTTTTGGGCGGTCGAAACTACCGACTTCTTTTTTACGGCAAACATATACTTCTTTATGAATGTGCTGGGATAACTAATCTCGGTTAGTGAGCCGTTGATGAATTCCAGCTCCTGACTTTAGGTATCCACTGAACAGATTATATTTGCTCTGCTAGTGAGACATCTAACAAAATTTCTTTTGTAGCGGATAGGTGTAAAACTACAAAAGTGAGTGTATTGGCAAGCACTAGGATTTTTGCTATACACGCTTCTACTTAGTGAACCATCACTTCGCCTACTTAGTGTGATGTCAAGGAAAGTCAGTTTTTTTATCATATTCTTCTTCACCAGTGAACGTGATTGCCGGGTGTACACTGTTGAATTGTTCTAAAAGCGTTTCTTTTCCGATGTCCTGATCTACATTGATGAATGTGTCATCGACGTAATAGCTTCATTAAGAGGTCCATTTTCTAGCTTTGTTAGGAAGAGAGATCAGCTAGAATTGGTCCTAGAGGTGAACCCGTGGCTATACCGTCTATTTGTCTATGATAAGTGTTGTTGAATACGAAATGGACATTCATCGTACATCTTAGGAGCAATTCTATAAGGCAATTTTCGGGCAAGCCAATGTTGATTTGTTTTTCCTTTATTCGCTCGCATATGAATTCAATAGTCTCGAGGAGTGTTACGTTAGTGAACACTTCTTCGTACAACTGATTTATGCAAAGGCTCTAAAATTCACACTAACCACTTCGCAACTTTGTAGTAAAGAGAATTGTACATATCTATAGGACCGGGCGCAGAGCAAGACACGATTTGTGGACTTTTGGCAAACTGCATAGTCGTGGTGTATACGATCCAGTCGGTTTAATCGAGTCGTGAATTTCAGACGCAATTACTCACTTTTTTCTTTAGTTCCTTAAGCGAATTCACCGGTTGTTTTTCCACTTTTTTATTGATGTCGTTATTACTGGTGAATTTTTGAAATTTGTCAGAATGACATCCTTTGATATTCAAGTAATATAAATATATAGATCCATTGAGAAAATCAGATGCTCTATTTTGTGTACTTGCACATTACAGCACAGTCAGAGAATAAAATTACTAGCATCAACTTAATATAATAATGGACCAATCAGGATTGGCCAAATGACAAGGCCATTTGATGACCTTCAGAAGTGTCCGCCAATCATCATAGAACTAATAACTATACACATACTTACTTACTTATTCAAATAATTGAACTTACCTCTTTAAAGCACCATTTTTATTACAACCATGTATATGTCCACAAATCCAATAACTTAATTCTTTTGCATATGATACAGCATTAAACTGTTCATTATTAGCAAGATTTGAATAAGTGTCAATCAGATATTTCAAGGTCAATTCATATAATGCACACAAATCAGTATTATCGATTAATACAAGTACACGATCTATTGGTAATGAATGATCAATTAGAAATAATTGTTTTTTATAATGAGGTAAGCTTGTATGCCAATTGATTGAATTTACATGATATTTTTGTTTGATACATTGTATACAAATTGGATTGTTAGATGAAGAAGGCGGCGGCGGGGACGGCGGGGATGACGACGTCGGAAACGACGGGGACGGTGATGGGGATGATGTGGACGATGCGGATGATGATGGTGATGATGATGATGAATGAGATGAACATAGTGAACAAGTTGATAAAAGTTTAATTGAAGGTAAATTTGGTTCAGGAATATAACGATAATCTTGTGTTAATTCTTTGTCACGCATTCGTAAAGTGACACTATTACAACCGTAATAATAGTGATCATGTGGTATTATGATTGTTTATAGAATGTGGGAAAATAAGAAACATGCAAGATTAAAGAAAAATAAAACATTTATGATTACGAACTAATTCAATATGAAGATAAAAAATATCAATTAGCTTGATAAGATACACGTCAGAAGAAAAAAACACAATAATATTTGGCCGCTAGGGGCGGCCAAAGCAAAACATGACAGTGTTACACGTCTGCACGTAAACACGTCAACTTGATATGCTCGAACTATTACGAGTTTACCTATTCGGAAACGCGAGAGCGAGAATTGAGGAACCGGCGACAAGACACGCTACTCAAATCCGATTATCCCAAACCCCATATTGAGGAAAAATATGAGTCTTGGTATGAAGTAGAACGTGAATTCTACAAGCATCCAGAAAGTACGAGGTCCGAATCCAGAAGAGAATCAGGATCCCAGACTAGGGATCCGGGACCGGGTCCTGGTCCTGGTCGTGGTCATAAAACGTTACAGATAATGCGTATTTGTACATTTTGGTCGAATAGGAAACAGCATCGAAGTTTGTGACATTGGAAGTTAAGACGACCAATAAGAAGCAACATTTGAAGTGACATTGATAGTCAGGACAACCAATAAGAAACAACACTGGAGCACGTGACATTGATATCTAGGATGAGCATAAAATTGACCAGTAGGAATTAACCAATAGGAATTGACCAGTAATAATTCTCTTAGGATATTGAATGAATATCCTAACAGGCAGAAATGCATGAAGTCACTGAAAAGTGAAGTGAGTCATGTTGGTAGATGTAGACTACCTGGTTGGGGTCCGCGAGATGATAGTAATCGATGGTTAGAGACTCTGAATGACATGGCTCAACACCGTTTGCAATGGCGCAGGTGCATCAATTCTTTGCGTTCTCTTAAATCGTAACCTACTGAATTCCTCATCACCTTTATCTGTTTCGTTTAAAGTTTATTTCATCAGATTCTATTTCTTGAATAATACCATCGAATCCTAAAGTTTCCGATTACTGCTAACACTTCTACTACCTCTACTACTACAGAAATCTGAATTAACAATTCCATCTCTCCCTGATATACTCTACATATGTACAAAATTCTACGTTGTAACTGACTGACTTATTGAAAACATCAAACTTTTTTTCACCCAGTTTAACCTTGGTACAGTTTAGTTTAGTTTCACTACTTCATCTATTGATTTGCCGTCCTTACCTAGTACTCGTTTCCTAACGATAGCATTGCTTACTCGGTTGTCCCAGGATACACGAGCAATGTTTCGGAGACATCGATGATCGAAGACTAGTAACGTACGGAAGTCCTCTACTCTTAACGGCCATTTTTCGCATCCGTACAGTAGGATGGAGCGAACTGCTGCACAATACACTCGCTCTTTAGTCAGCAAACGGATATCTCGCCTACGCCATAAGTGACGCAGGTTGGCAAAAGCCAACCAAGCCTTCTGTATCCGAGGTGAGATTTCGTCAGTCAGCAGGCCATCAGCACTGCACTGATGAGACTCCCCAGATAAGTGAAGTTGTATAATAATCGAATTCTTATATACTATCCATGGGATTCACTACAATCAATCTTTAAATTAACATTGACTTACTTATTTACAGCATCATAAGATCGAGTTTCATGTGTAATTTGTCCACCGGAATCAAGAATTTCCGATTGACGCTTAATTTCATAGTCTAGAATGAAAATTTTTGAAAAAAAAATGGGCACACGGTATATAAAACTGAAACCAATTTCGTATCAAACTAGATTTAGAATGATTGAAAACCATGGAGCACTGGACAGGCGTTATTCTTTTTTTTCAGACTACTCAGTAATACTCAACTAACATTCTAAACAGATATTCAACAACATGGAAGAACCCCAATCAGTCACAACTGAATAGGTTAAATATATATTGATACTAATAGGAGTATAAAGTTTGAAACCACATACAAAAATTAAGCAATGCTGTCGTTAGGAAACGAGTTCTAGGTAGGGATGGCAAATCAACAGATGAAGCATTGAAACTTCATCAGTTGAGGTGGTCGGGACATGTGTTACGAATGCCTAACCACCGACTGCCGCGACGAGCTATGTTTTGAGGTGTAGGAATAGGTTGGAATAAAGCTAGGGGTGGCCAAACCGAAACACGGCAGAAATCTATGAAGTCACTGACAAGTGGACTGAGTTATGTTGGTAGATGCAGGCTATCTGGTTGGGGTCCGTGAGACGAAACTCACCAATGGTTAGAGACCTTGAACGACATGGCTCAGAATCTTTTGCGATCGCTCAGGTGCATCCACTCTTTGTGTTCTCTCTAATCCTAACCTTCTGAATTCCTCAGAATCTCTATCTTCCTCCTTCTAAATTTATCTTACTGAATTATACTTTTCCAATCATATCTTCACTCCCTAATCTTCTCCATTGCTGCTAATACTTCTACTATCGCTATCACTCTTGGATTTGAATTGACAGTTGCGTCTCTGCGCTAACGTGGTATGGTAACCTGAACTGATATACTTATGTACGAAGTTTCGCGTTGTATATGTCTGACTGTCTGACAAAAAATTAAGTAGCTTAGATTTCAATGATACTTAGAAAGATATTAGTATGAGACAAAAATCATCGACAAACTTAACTAATCTCAACAATCCGATCACGTAATTAAGAAAAAAACATAATAATTACATTATTAGCATAACTCCAATGGTTAGGCATTCGAGCACAATACCGAAGGTCCCGGGTTCGAATCATGCGAGGTGCAGGAGTCGTGGATGCGCACTGCTGATGAGTCCCATACCAGGATGAGACGGCAGTCCAGTGCTTCCGGGTTTCTAATGATGGTCTAACAATGATTGATTGATGGTTTTAAATGTGTAAAAACACTAATCTCCATAACTCAAATTGATAATATATTATAGTATGTGCTACACCACTTTAAGCCTACAGTAATGATGTGACCATGTGAATTTGTGTAACTTATTATCAGTTGAAATTTCGCAGTCTGTGTTACATACATCAAGTGATTAACTACTTCCCGACCGTGACTGATACCTTGATGTGGTGGTCGCGTTTGCCTATCGTGATGATCCAGTCGAGCTATACTGGCTCGAACAGACCAGGCAGGTCGATTCAAGAACGGTAAGACTAAACGCAGTAACTCAAGGTCTGAGGGCCAAGTCATACTTCTGACTGTAGAGGGGTGTGACAGCAGTAAATCTCTTTCCTCGGACAACCAGCATATGAAGCGATGCTATCTTCTCACAAGGAAGTAGGGGGCTAAAAAAGGTCGACCCTAAAAATGTCACACCTCACCTTACCTCACGGATTTCCGTCGTCGTCAGTAAGGCCTCTTGAAGATCGGAGCTAACACTGTTCAAACTTCCTATAAAAGGGCCCGAGAGTGACCGAGCTCAAGCAGTTATCCCGTGGGCTCTGCGGTTACGTTCCTAGGTCGCTCAGACTAACACTAATCCAATTCGCTTTCCAAGTTCCTCAAGAAGCACCCTTCCACGATGTGGGCAACCGGGAAGTGACATCCCCTCTCATACCCGCAACAGCACACGACACCGAATTGGTTACAATCAAATCCTCCCAGTAAACTACATAAAATGTAATAAATCCTAATTTATAACATTTTGAGTTCCGAGTGTCTCTTCCGTTTTATCTCAAGATCACCAGAAGTATGTATCAATCATTACATAATGACTAAAAACGATGATATAATGTGATTAATTACTAACTACGCCATCAGAAGCAACGAATTTCCCAAAATCAAAAATATTTTCATGAAAATTATATGAATTAAACCGTTTTTCCTATTAATAACTACTTGAAATCTTTCATGGTACAGAAAAATGTGTAATATTAACTGAAAGACAAAAACACTCATAAAGTCAAACCAACCAATAGAACACATGACACCACGAATACTATTGATATTTTTAATTTCAACTCGAGCATTTTGATTGGCTACATCTTGACCAATAGAAACATTGACATCAACACGTAGTTCACCAAATGCACCAATAGCACTACAACATTTTAAATGTTTCAATAGACGTGATAAATCTGTAAGAAATGCAGCTGTTTGATCAGATGAATTAAAATCTGGTTCTGTGACAATTTCTATAAGACCAACATCTAAAATGAATGAATACACGACTGTAGTAGATAAATGATCGAAAGCATTCGATCCATAATACACAAGTGAATTATCCAATCAATAAGCAAGGTGGTGATATTTTTCTCTTATTGGCGACCGATTTCCAATGGCAACTTGATTGACAAGACATCATAGTGCATTATATATGTTGTTACTCATCATTCATTATTGCTCATAATTTTCAAACGATCAACAGATGAAGTAGTGAAACTTAATCAATTAAGGTGGTTGGGATATGTGTTACGAATGTCCAACCCGCGACTACTTCATCGAGATATATTTTGTGGTGTAGGAGTAAGTTGGAAGGGCGGTATGGGCGAACAGACCAAAACATGGCACAAATCCATGAAGTCACTGACAACTGGATTGAGTCAAGTTGGTAGGTGTAGACTACCTGGTTAGGGTCCGCGAGATGATAGTAATCGATGGTTAGATATCATGAATGACATGGCTCAAAAATGTTTGCAACGACATAGATGCACACGTTCTTTGTGTTATCTTAAATCCTAATTTCCTGAATTCCTCATGGCCGTTTTATTTCTTTTTCCAATCGATTCCACTGGGGTATACATCTCTTTGATTATTGCTTATACGCCTACTAATTCTACTACTATGGGATTTGAATTGACAATCGCGTCTCTGTGCTAATGTAGTATTATGGTGCGAGCTACTTATAAGTAGTATATGACGTGAGTGTCAATGTAATGTCTGGCACCAGAACATGGGGGTGAGATCAAGAAAGGAAGAGTTAGAAAACAATGGAATATGTATGAAGCGCATGAATAGTGACAATGGATGGATGTTTTGCAACAGGAACAGTCCAGTTCGATATGATGGATTGATATTTTGCAAATTAATGATTTACGATATGGTTTTCCGATTTTACTGAGTAACTTTTCGTAATTTTCGTTAAATACAATTCGGTTGCCCTCACCTGTGTTCTCCTTCACAACTTCTTTTCAGTTTTCGTAGGAAAACCTCATTTGTGTAACGTTAGTAATAGGAAATCAAATACGAATTCAGTTGGATGATGAGTTCATTTCAGGCAATCGTTTATGCAGACAGACATGAAAAAATACGGAATGCAGAAAAGCAAAGCGGAGCGAAGCGAAGAAGGCGAGTAAGCCCAGCGTGATAAAGCATGACAAAGTTATTTAGGGGTCATACAAAAATAAGTTACACATTTTTGAAACCATAAATCGATCAATGTTAGACCACCATTAGAAACCTGGAAGCACTTGACGGCCGTTTCGTCCTGGTATGGGACTCATCAGTGGCAGTGCGCATCCACGACTCCTGCACCCCGCGGGATTCGAACCCAGGACCTTCGGTATTGTAGGCGAACGCCTAACCATCATGCTTTCAAAAATGTATAACTTAACAATCTTCACAACCCAGTAATGCAAAAATGAGTTAGACGTGTAACACAAACTCGAATGAACAAAACCACCGTTACCATCGACTGATACACAAGGTCGAAAGATGTGCAAATAATGACTCCACAAAAAAATGGATGATGATTAATTTGTCCAAAGGCTGACAGACAAGCTGTTAGGATATTCATCCAATATCCTAAGAGAATTATTGGTCAAATCCTATTGGTCGGTTTCTATTGGTCAAAATTATGGTCGTTATAACTGTCAAAGTCAAATACTTCAATGTTGATTCTTATTGGTTGTCCTGACTATCAATGTCACTTCAAATGTTACTTCCTATTGGTCGTCTTAACTGTCAATGTCACAGAATTCGATGCTGTTTCCTATTCGACCAAAATGTATAAATAGGCATTATCTGTAACGTTTAATGACCACGACCAGGGCTCGGCCCCGAAAATACCTAGTCCGGGATCCTGATTCTTTTCTGAACTCGTACCTTGTGCTTTCTGGATGCTTGTAGAATACACGTACTACTTCCTATCATGTCTTATTATTTTAACTAAATATGTAACGTGTCATGTCACCGGATCCTCGATCTCGCGTTTCCGACTTAGGTAAACTCGTAATAGTTCAAGTATATCAAGTTGACGTGTAGGCGTAACACAAGCCCTATGAACTAGACAAATATATTAGTTAGTACACAGTACACACACATTGAACATACACAGTAAACAAACAAACAAACCAACTTAGACCAATAATTTTTCAACTTACCAGAACGATTTAAATCAATTAAACTATTGTCATTTTGTATATGATGTAAACTTTTACCAGAATCTTGTTCAATTTGTATACGTTTAATACGAGCTCGTGAACGATAATAACATTGATCTTCAACATCATCATTACGTATAATTTCTGTATACAATGGAACAGGTTGTTGTTGTTGTTGTTGAACAGTTGAAATATTTCTTAACCAAATATAATCGAAATAACCATTTTTTGATATTGGTTCATAATATTGAGTGATTTGATAACCAGCTGGCAAGTCAGCATAAAAATAATGCTTACGATCGAAACGTGACATGAAATTAATGTGACAATTTAATCCAATCGAAGCAACGATGGCAAGTTCAAGACAACGTCGATTTAAAATCTATTATTGAATAAATTGATTGATAAGATAAAAAAAATATAACCAAATGTTTATTTAGTTGAACATTTTTAATTATTGGTGCAAAACGAGAAACATGTAAATATTTATGTACCACACGAGTCAGTGGATTTTTGTATATGGGCTGGGATGTATTGACTGGGTTCCCGAACCGAAGTAGGTGATTTTCTTAGGGGGACCAATCACCAACCAACACTTTAGCCTACGGTCAGTGAGAGAAGAAGATAATCGTAGGTTACTAGTTTTCGATCATAGGTGTCTTCGAAGCATTGCTCGTATATCCTGGCGCACCCAAATGAGCAACGCTGTTATTAGGAAACGGATGCTAGTTAAGAAAATGGCAGATCAATAGATGAAGTAATGAAACTTCATCAGTTGAGGTGGTTGAGACATGTGCTGCGTATGCCTAACCACCGATTGCCTCAACGAGCTTTGTTTTGTAGTGTAGGAATAGGTTGGAAGTCAGTTAGGGGCGACCAAACAAAAACATGGCAGAAATTCATGAAGTCATTGACAAGTGGACTGAGTCATGTCGGTAGTTGTCTACTACCTGGTTGGGGTCTGCGAGATGATAATAATCGATGGTTAGAGACCCTGAATGACATGGCTCAAAATCGTTCGCAATGGCGCCGGTGCATTTATTCTCTGTGTTCTCTCAAAGCCTAATCTTCTGGATTCTTCAACACTTCTAGTTTTGACTTTCTAAACTTTTCTCATTGAATCATACTTCTTGAATAATATTTTCTAATCATAACCTCTTCGATTGATTCTAATACCTTTACTACCTATTCTGCTATTGGATTTGAATTGACAATTATATCTCTATGCTAATGTGGTGTGGCAACATGAACTGATGTACTTACGTACGAAGTCCTACGTTGCATCTGACTGCCTACGGCCTAATCCACAATGCAGTGTAACTAAGTTGTGAGAAATAGTCCCATTGTTGGTGGTCACTGAAATGAAGCTCATACAACAATCCGTGCTCACAGGATCCTAGAGCACATGTATACCATTGATTTGGAATCTGGGTTACCACCTGACTCCCTGTAGATGGATTCTCAGTACCCACAAACCCAAATAAAACGTCGGACATTTGCTTCTCATCCTTTCGATTTCGTAAACAACACCTGTGTTACAAGAAGGCAGTGAGTAGGACTTCCCCATTGGTAATGGTCATATGAGAGCGTTTCACAAGAGGGATAGAGAACTTTCTCTTTCTCAGTTGTACCAGAGTGATACAAAGTTCCTCCAACATTACAATAAGCCAATCTAACAATTAAAATCTTAAAAAGTGATATTGTTACGCTTGTCTATTGATATGCTTGAAACTATTACGAGTTCACCTTAGTCGGTAAACGAGAGCGAAGACAAGCGATACAGTGACACAATAGGCTACTCTAATCCGAACGTCCCAAGGCCTCACCAAGTAGAGGAAGAAGTCGTGACAAGATGTAGAAAGGGTATTCTACAAGCACGCAGAAAATATGAGGTTCCCAAGCACACAAATCGAGTTTATTTATACATGATAGAAACGGCCTTGGGAGAACCACAAAAATAGTGTACTAAAACAACATATCAACCAATGACATTCAAGGATTTTCCGGGTGGGAAATGTAATCCCGAGATCAAGGTCATGTGCGGAAACATAAAATCCAAAATCGGGACATTTATCAAGTGAGTTCTGGAGAGCTAACGTCCCCAACATATATGTATATATATCTGATGGTTTGTACTATATTTTAAATTGCTACATGAAATCGAGCTTAGAATCTACAAGTCCTAAACTGAACACATAATATCTGTCTGTATATTATTGCATTTGATATTGTAGAGTCCATATTTCCCCCCTATAATCGACTTTACACATGGCTTAATCCTCATGTGATATTATCAGTGAGTAGTTATTTCGAGGTAGTGGATAAAGACTTCTTTCTATCTGAAGTTTGTGCTGATGATGTTGTTGAAAAGAACAATGAAAGCTACACAATCAAAAAAATCCAGCTCCGAGAACGGAATTAGATCAAAGTGGTTATTTCCCTTATCGATTTGCTTGACTCCAGAAAAACCGAATTCCATCCGAGTTTTAATGATTATCTTATAAATATCACTTTGTGGTGAAGATTTTATGCTCTGAAATAAGAGTCTCATCGGGAGAAAAGAGGTGCTACACTGTATTCAACTATTTTAAAAAATCTCGACAAGCAGATACTTTCAAATCCATAGAAGTGTCTTGGGAAAAATAAGTTGCCGTACAACACTTTTCTTAGCTTCGCCTGGAACCCTCCTAAGGTTACTACAGATCCTAGGCCCGGATAAAGCAGGGGTTAGCAAATTCATTCCACAGAAAACAAAATAATTTAGGCCAACAATAGTTTTTCATGAACCAACATTTATAATTTAAACCTAGGAAGGTAATAACAATAAACCCTTTTATTAAAATCTTGTTCCTAAAATCTGCTGAAACAATACCAAAAAGCAAGTAAGTGCTCCATATTGTCAACTTATTTCACAAATGTATTTTATGATATTTTTATTACTGAAACTAATGTTTTTAAAAATGTATTGATTTAAAAGTTAAGCATTCACGCACAAGACCGATGATCCTCGGTTTGATTCCTGCGAGCGGAGGTCGTGCATACGCACTGCTGATGAGTTCCAAAACTATAAGACGAAATGGACATCTAGTGTTTTCACATTTCTAATGGTAATCTAAGAATGATTGTGTAGGGTTCGTCACTTAGTATGCTTGAGGCTATTACGAGTTTACCTTAGTCGATAAACGCGAACGAGACTTTTACCAGCGTCCAGGTAGGCTACCTTGAATCCCCAATCTGAATTAAAAGGCTTTGTAAACGTAGAAAGTATATTCTACAAACACCCAGCAATCACAGTACAATCAAGCATACAACTCTCGTTTATTTATACAACATAGAAACGTCCTTGAGACAGTTAAGAAAATAGCACACTAAAATACACAGCAGCCAATCACAGCCATGGATTTTCCTAGTGGGAACTGAAATCTCAAGGTCAACTGATCAGCCCATGCTGGTTAACGGGAAAACCAAAATAAGACATTTATCAAGCGAGTTGTGGGGATCTAACATCCCCAACAGATTGATTCTGGATTCCAAATGAAAAACAACCATCTTCATAATTATATAATAAAAATTTAACAATTTTGTTTTTTACTTACCGGCATACTCCCAGGAATTGCAACATCATGTAAACCTAGTTGAGTGTTAGGAGGAGCACCGAAATTATACGGGACATTGGTAAATAATTTATTTTGTACAGCTAATTGAGCATGAATTTCCAGTCCAATTAATGGGAAATAATTTTTTTTCAATATTGTTTGAGTTGAATAGAATTTACAATTATAATGTGGAATAATTTGATTGAAATGAAATAATTGTTTATAATAGTAAAGTGAAATAATTTTCATGACTTTTTTTTATTTTGTATTGACGATACTACTAGATAAAGAAAAAGTAGTATAAAATAAAAAATAAAAATTGAATTTCCTTTGATGCTCTACAGACAACTTTACTCATTTAAAAGGTTGAATAAAAAATGAAAGAACATACAGTGGTAGAACAATAAACATGAATTCATTTATTTCATAGATTTGTTTTAACTGCTTACCACTTAAAATCAAGCCATTGAAACTCTTCTCTAGAAAATGAGAAGAGTCTTCATTCAGAAGAGTTATGATGCCTGATGATGAAAGCCGAGTTTCTTTGGAAGTTACGAGGCCGACGACCTTATTGACGACCAGAGCAACCATTAATAAAAGTACATCAAATGTTCGTACATTTTAGGAGACCAGGAGAACTATTCAATTGGATGTGGGAAAGAAAAGATAAGTTGTAGGTTGAAGAATGATGGTCGCCGGCCTATGCTCCCCGTTAGGGGGTAATAGACGTAAGTAAGTAACAGATCAATACTTTGTAACAAAAAGAGTTCTTTTCACAAATCATTGATATTAGTATTGCTCCAGCTAATTTAAGTCTATACTGATTCGTTAGAATATATAATATTACAGAGATTACTCTATGGTAAAGAAAACAAATCTGTCATTTCAGTCAGTTACAAATTATGAACGTACATCAGTTCAAGCTGTCATACTGTAGTGAACGAGAACACAGGTGGGGCAACCGAATTGTATTTAACGTAAATTACAGAGTTACTCAGTAAAATCGGAAAACCATATTGTAAATCGTTCATTTGCAAAATATCAGTTCATCATATCGAACTGGACTGTTCCTGTTGCAAAACATCAGTCCATTGTCACTATTCATGCGTTTCATACAAATTCCATTGTGTTCTACTAACTCTTCCTTTCTTGATCTTCCCCCATCTTCGGCTGCCAGACATTACGTTGACGCTCACGTCATATACTACTTATAAGTAGTTCACACCACAATACCACATCAACACAGGAAGATTGAACTGTCAATTCAAATCCATTGGTAGTAGAGTTAGTGGAAGCACTAGCAGTAATTGGAGAGATTACGGTTCGAAGATATTATTCAAGGAATATAACGAACAGTCACGGCTACACATACAATCGACTTTCGAAAAGTCCTGGATTTAAAAATATTTTATTTTTAAATCGTGACTAGTAGTGTAATCCAAGGGTCACACTTTCCATTATCGGGAATCGGTCACACTGAATTTACCTGCATACCAAAGTTGATATACAGATACAACTAGTCCCAAACAGGATGAAAAGTAGATCCTGAAGTCCAACGCTAATTACATCCCATCTGTCACACAAAAGCTTTCCAAATTATTTGTTTATTACTAATGCTCAAGCACCGAATAATTACTAACGCTAGGAAACCAAGCTAGTGAAGCGAACTTTTATGTATTTTTCAAGAAGAATCTCATTTTTGCCTTTGAATACTAGCATAGTGGACAATCGTGATTTGTCCGAATGAATTAAGTATGACTTTTATTTTTTTTTTACCCAATAACTGCATAGACAACTTAACAGTCATGGGATACTCTCTGTAAGAATATTTAAAAGTAACTGACCAAGATGAAATACTATGAATTCTTTCAGTTTTATCTCTACAGACAGGTTCATTCAAGTTCGTTCATCAGTAATAGACATTCAGATAAAACGACGGGGAGAGATTACTGACATTAACACTGCTGTTGATCAGCAGTGAGTCAGTTACAACGTAGAACTTCGTACGTAAGTATATACGTTCAGGTTGCCATACCACAGTAGCACAGATATGTAATTGTCGATTCCAATCCCATAGTGGTAGAGGTAGTAGAAGTATTAGTAGTGATCGAAGAGATCACGGTCCCAAGATATTATTCAAGTAAAATCCAGTGAAACAGATTTGAAGAGAGAAAGAGGAGTTCAGATAAGAATTTGGGAGAACACAAAGAATGGACGCACCTGCGCCATTGCAAACAATTTTGAGTCATTGTGAAGGTGTTTTGTTCTCTGAGCTGGTTGTTTTGGTTGTGGAGCTTTCATTGTTCTTCTGAACAACATCATCAGCACGAACTTCAGATAGAAGTGAAGCATTAGAATTTCTCCACGTTTGACCTGTAGCTTGTTCTGCTAACCTCGATCTTGATTGGTTGTTGTTGACCTTTGGCCTGTCGTTGTTTGCAACTATGTTTTGATTGCCTCCCTCTTTTGATCTGTTTCTTGATCTAGTGTCACCTATGATTTTCCTGATTGGTTGATAAATTGGGTCAATGTCGATGTGTTTGTTGATTGCTAATTGACCTGAGTGCCAAGCTTCTAAAAATTCTCTAGTGTTCTTTGTCCTCCCCCTACCTAGTATTTCCACGTTGTTCCAATCAAATGTGTGTCCAACAACTTATCAAGAGAGATCTCAAGGATATTAAAACATCTGGTGGATGAATCCAACTACTCCATTAAGTCTGCCACAGAATTCTTGGATAAACTCAAGAGGATTCAAATTGACAACGACGAAATGATGATATCCTTCGACGTAACAGCCTTATTTACCTCAATAGAACCAAGCTTAGCCAAAGAAACTCTTTCTCTGCTCCTCACCAACGACACAAATCTACACAAATATACAAAGCTTCAGAGTCAAAGTTTGCTTGAACTCATCGACCTATGCCTAACAACATATCTTCAGTTCAACAACAGAGTCTACGAACAAATAAAAGGAACACCAATGGGATCACCAATATCAGGACTCATCGCCGAAGCGGTAATGCAGAGACTGGAAGCGTCGATTCTGCCAGTGATCAAGCCAAAAATGTGGGTTCGCTATGTAGACGACACATTCGTTATTATCAAAAGGAATGAGCTGGAGAACATCTACAATCAGATCAACAACGTCTTTGATGACATCAAATTCACGATGGAAAAGGAATCAAACAACAGCCTACCATTCCTGGATGTACTAATCACCAGAACTAACACAGGAAAACTAGAAACTCAAGTATTTCGGAAGCCAACCCACACCGACGTAATTCTCAACTACGACAGCAACAACCCAAGAACCCACAAGATTAACTGCATACAAACTCTGTTCAAGAGAGCGAAGACACACTGCAGCACATACGAAACATTAAAAAACGAGGAAAAACATCTGATGACTATCTTCCAAAAGAACGGCTATCCACGCAACTTCATCAAAAAACATCAACCAAAACTATCATCAGGAGTGAAATCAAGCACAGGAACAAATAAACGCATCATCCTACCATACATCAAAGACATATCAGAGCATACGGCACGACTACTGAAACCATTTGGAATAGGTGTGGCACACAAACCAACGGAATCACTTCAGTCAATCCTATGTAGACCAAAGGACAAAATGACAAAGGAAGAAAAACCAAATATCATCTACAAAATAAATTGCTCAAATTGTGAAAAACACTACATAGGACAAAGTGGACGACCTCTTCAGCTCCGTTTACGTGAACATCAATTAGCAGTCAAACGCCACGACAACGCTTCGCTTATATCAATACACACCGACAATTATGGACACACATTTGATTGGAACAACGTGGAAATACTAGGTAGGGGGAGGACAAAGAACACTAGAGAATTTTTAGAAGCTTGGCACTCAGGTCAATTAGCAATCAACAAACACATCGACATTGACCCAATTTATCAACCAATCAGGAAAATCATAGGTGACACTAGATCAAGAAACAGATCAAAAGAGGGAGGCAATCAAAACATAGTTGCAAACAACGACAGGCCAAAGGTCAACAACAACCAATCAAGATCGAGGTTAGCAGAACAAGCTACAGGTCAAACGTGGAGAAATTCTAATGCTTCACTTCTATCTGAAGTTCGTGCTGATGATGTTGTTCAGAAGAACAATGAAAGCTCCACAACCAAAACAACCAGCTCAGAGAACAAAACACCTTCACAATCATCCACCTGAGCTACAAGTTTTCTCCACCATCTCAATTTTGAGTCATGTTATTCAAAGTCTCTTACCATCAATTGCTATCATCGTACGGACCCCAACCAGATACTCTATACCTACCAACATGACTCAGTCCATTTGTCAATGACTTCATGAATTCGTGCCACGTTTTGGTTTGGCCGCCCCTAGCCTTCTTCCAACCTATTCCTACATCGCAAAACATAGCACTACGAGGCAGTCAGTTTCTAGAAATACGCAATACATGTCCCAACCACCTCAATTAATGAAGTATCCTAACAACTGCATTGTTTACTCAGTTGTCCCAGGATAAACGAGCAATGCGTCGAAGAAACCTATGGTCGAAAACCAGTAACCTATGACTATCCTCTACTCTTACTAGCCATGTTTCACAGCCATAAAATAGAACGGAGTGAACTACTGCACAGCAAACCTATCCTTTTTTAGCAGAAAGATATGGCTCCCAGGCCATAAGTGACGCAAGTTGGCAAAAGCCAATCGAGCCTTCTGTATCCGTGTCGAGATTTCGTCAGACACCAAGCCATCAGCGCTGATGAGGCTCCCAAAATAAGTGAATCTGTTGATCCTTCTACAACTTAGGTAACGTTTCACATATTCTGGGACCTAAAGGTATGAAACGGCCCCCAAAATTATGGCTCGCATATAAAGACAAAGAGTAAGACCAATAAACACATCAAGGCAGAATTACAAACTATACTTACTTAATTCAAACTTCTGTCAGTAAAATGACAGTCTCAAAATTCCGCATAAATAAAGCAATATCGAATCAGTGAACATGTTTAGTGGTCCTGGACACCCAAAATTAAATCTGACCAACCATTTACGTCTTTCTATCAGCAGGATATAATCAACCGATCAGTTTGAAACCCGGATGTGCTGACCAATCAACTTTTCACTTTACAGAGCTAGCAAATGAATCAAATTAGCAGAAGTTTCTTATGAATTTATGTACCAATTATTGTATTTTTACTACTGCGATAGTACAAGAATACCAGGTAATAAAAAATATATA